TTTCTGACAACGAGACGAGACGAGAAGATGCAGTGTCTCGTCTCGTCTCGTGGCATCAGTGAGAGCGAGGCATTGGGTTCGATTCAAAGTGTAAAAATCATGAAATTTAAAATTTTTGAGCCATAAAAAGATGAAAATTTCTCATTTTACTTCACTTAAAAAGAAGTAGGAAATTACTTTTGTCACAGCATAGTTAATATATTTGTGTTAATAATTGACAATTCGTTGAAAATTGAGATTCTTTCGTCTCGTTTTATCTCGTCTCGTATTGTCTCGTCTCGTCTCGTTTCGTCTCATCTCGCCATCACTGCTCCCTCTCCAAAAAATCAATAGCCTCCTTCTTGTATGATTTTTTTCAAAGTTGTTTCTACTGTATTTTTCCAGCCAACAATTCTTGACATTGTAATCATGACAAAAAAAACCAGATCGAGTCAATAGCGTAGAAAATATTCCGGGGAATATCGAACGGAACGAGAATCTGCAAATGCTGATGTGAAGGGGAATTTTGCCGCTTCAATTATAAATCTCGATTTCATTATTCAATTATTTTCCGGAGCGAATTTATTGGATTTCGTCATTATTCACTGCACAGCAAAAAAAAGTTTCACCAGCGAATCGCAATTAATTTCATTTCGCTAAAAAATAATGGATCGTGCAGGTATATGTGACGTGACTTTCACCGCCCAATTCAATTATGAATCTCTTATTTTCTGTTAACGACTCTTATTCTGCCCCTCGTGACCTTTATTTTGACCCTTGCGACCCTTATTCTGACCCCCATAATCCTGATTTTGAACCTCATGATCCTTTGGACCCTTTTTTTAGCCCTTATGAACGTTATTTTGACCCTTGTGGCCCTCAATTGCGGAGTCTCAACTTCGACCCCTAAACTTTTATCACCAGACGTCAATTTGGACTTTTATAGCATAAACAGATGTTTTCTATTGAACCATTCCATAGAAAAAAAATATCTAGTTTTTCTATTAACTTTCTTCGAAACTTCCCGTTTCCCCAACTCCCCAACTCTCCATCCCTGAATTTCTAATTTTATTCAACCCACCATTTTATCCAACAATTCCCCACCGAACCCCATTCCAAACGAGAATCGATATTCCTCAAGTGATTTAGTCTTGCAGAAAGCACTGAGCCACAACGGGGAATGGGGGTTTATACCCTTCGCAAAGCGATTCGTCAAGCCCAGTGTATATTTTACGCCTGAATCAATGCAATATTGTGTACGCGGTGTGACATCAGAATTGCGGGATGCAGCGTAAGACGGGCCACCCCCGGCTATCGTCTGTACGTCGAGTGAATTATTGACGTCTCCAAGGGAATCGTTTTCCATTTTCCTCTCCTCCTCCTCCTTCTCCCTCTGTCACTTGAATTCCTGGAGCGGCTTCCGCCTGCAGCAGGTGAATAGTTCCGCGCAGGAGTATTTTCAGGGCATTCCAGTGAGAAGAGTTGACCGCAAAAGGGCCCAAAGGTCACGTCGATGAGATGGAAAGGGATTTTGCCAGCGAAAAGCCTCGGCTCTTGCCATTCTGCATTCTCACCCAGCTGCACTTGGTTTTCGTGCACTCAAAGTGTTGAGTGGTTTGTGCCAGTCCTCTTCCTCTAGGCCGGCACTCACCATATTCTCACAGCAACGAGTTAATTGGATGAGTCAAATTATTTTCAGAACAATGAAACTCCTCCTAGGAATTTCCATGCTCACAAAGGCCTCGGTCGTTTGAATATCCATGCACTTAGTTTTTCTGAGGGTGTAATCATGATGCTCTGGGTGAGAATGTGTATTATATCGATGCAGGTGTCAAGGGTGGATGTTTGGGTGGTGCACGGATTCAGGCTTTGAGGGGAATGTTGATTGAAGAGGACGAATTTTTTTACTTTGACACCTTTTCATCAGCAGGGATTTTGGTACAGCGAGAGAAATTGTTCATTTTAAATGAATAAATATTGGTTAAGTCAAACGAATGGGCTTATTCTATAGTAATTATGGTTTTTATTCAAATTGAAGTCAATCTTTATTTGCGTTTTAATTTAGTACAGGATTTTCTATGAAACTTTATTTAAAAAATGTTATTTCATTTTAAAAATTTAATGTTTAATTAAATTCATTTATTTTAAAATGAAGTCAAATTTTATTGTCAAAATTTTATAAAAAATCTTTCTCAAAAAGCTTTTTTGTTTGATTTTCTTGATGAAATGATAAAAATAGAATTTTAAAAAGTCAGAAAAATTGAGCCGAGGAAATTCAATAGAATTGTTTAGTGAATTCGTTGGGTTTTTCTATTAATTTTTTTTGTGCATGTTTCTTAGATCCAAATGATGATTTTATGAATTGAAAATAAAATCATTCATTTGGATTTGATAAATTATTTATTTCGTGAAATGAGGAGCTTTATTTCGTCGTTTAGGAATACTTTTACCAGGCTTACACGCAGTTTAACGAATTCTGAGTGTAAATGTTGATCATCAATTCAAGACTTCGGAGTTCGACAAACAATCGTAAGAAAATTCCCGGTAATTTCCTTGCAAGGATTAACTTGCTAACTCCGTCATCACCTGAGGGCTTTCAGCCAAGGAATATTTGATGTGTAGCACATTTCCGGTTGAAAGTTGTGATTATCAATTTTTTGCAATTTCCGGTGGAAGTGTTTAGACACTTCTTAGATCCTATTGATTGTACATACTTCTGCAATATGTATGAAATGCTTAAGTAAATAATTCTTTTCCAAAAATTTCCGAATTATGAATTTCTAAACGAAAATAATTGGAATAGACAAATATCCTGGGATTTGATTGTGACACATTAAAATCCTTGAATATTTTAATTTAATAAATGATCGATCAGATGACCATTCAGAAGGTTTTGTTTTGTTTTCTTAATTATAAAATCGATGAGATGCTCCGTTCTCAAATAAATAATCAAGTACTTTTCTTCTAAGTCTCGATCAGCCTTCATTCGCCGCACGGTCAGCGCAGCGCCGCTGGGTTAAACCGGACGCGCTGCTGCCACGTTGGCGCTTAGCGCATTGCTATGCGCGCATTTCAAGTGTGACAGTGAATGTAGCAACACTGTCGCGTGAGCGGTCGCCGGCATATTACTCGCTCCGGGCGGCGCGGCGCCGCGTTTCCATCCGTTCGATATTTCTCCTCTTTTTTCAGCTAAACAAATTTCTCGAGAAAAAAACGGACAACGCCAATGCTTAATAAAAGGATTGGACTAGGGACCCTAATTCTTTCCAACTTTTTAAGCCACGAGAAACACGCTAAAATATAAAAAAACGAAAACGGATAGCGCTGCGCTCATTGAGCGAGTGATCGAGGCTTAAAAAATTATAATGCCTGTCTTTATGAATAATTAAACTTATTCAATACCTCAAAACTTGAACGGAATATCTAGCTATACTCGAGTTGTCTTGTACCTAGATATCACTTTGAGTCTGAATCTACAAATTATCCTGGGGAATCATTATCATTTTGAGCTCTGCTGCCGTGGGAAGAGGGAAATTTTATTATCAAACGGAAAATGTTAGATCTCTCCGGCTTTATTGACACAGGCGAACTGCGGAGAGTCCTACCTACAGAGTAAGAGTCCTACCCGCTGGGAATATTTCAAAGCAATACCACAAGCTCTAAACCTCCTCTACTTGTTTCTGTACATCATCCAACTTTATATCGGTACATTTTGACTTTTACTTTCCCAACAGATGTTTCATCGTGATTATATAACTGTGGCGCGACAATACCCCCGTTGAGATGTGCATGCGTTTTGTGGAGTGAAAAGCAATAAATCTGAACAGAAATAAAACAACAATTGATAACTGAAACTTGCTTGCGAATGGTCCGTGCGGAAATAGATGAATTTCTTTCTTCACACGTAAATAAATTTAGTAGAAAAACCTAGAAATTTTTTTTGAAAAATTCTATTGAATTTCTGTTGGGATTTCATGGAAATTCTGTTGGAGTTGTGTTAGAATTCTAGTGGAAAATTTCATTTTTTTGAGCAATTGTAGGAAAAATTATACAGCTTTTCCGGACGGTTTTCAATTCATATTTTCTGATAGAAACAAGTCTGTAGATGTGGATTTTTCTGTGTGATTTATGTTGTTAAGATTTTTTCGATAAGAATTCTTGGGGATGAACTTTCATCTGAGATTCATACCCAAGAATTTCTATTGAAAAATCAAAATGTACTTCTCTGTATTAAACATTTAAGAAAGCGATGTAAATTGCTACACCTAAGAACTTGAAGAATAATTTTATGAACACATTTGTATTTTTGTATTTTTTTTAGTAGAATAAACCACTGTTTGGATGCTGTAAATTTAAAAAATCAAAATGTGTTCATTTTCTTGTATCAAATTGAATTTTTGTTCTAATTCTATAGAAATTCTATTGAAAATTATGCAGCAGAAGTCTGTAAATGTGGATTATTATAGAAAAAAGTGTTCAGATTTTAATTATGAGAAATAAAAATAAAAATACAGCAGAAAAAAATTATTCAAGTTATGCCCAAAAATTTCTATAGAAAAATCAAAATCTATCAATTTTTTGTATCAAATGGAGTTTTTATTAGAATTCTAGAAAAAGTTTATTGATAATTATGCAGAATCAAAATGAAGCTGCATAATTGAATCTATTGGTCGTTTGTCAATAAGAATTATAAATTTGAAAATTTCCAATTTTTTTTTCCCGGATTTTATTACGAAAAATGGATAAAAATGCCGCAAAACAAATTTATAAATTCATGCCCAAAAATTTCTATAGAAAAATCGACATCTATTTACTTCTTCCTGTCAAATAATTATAGAGAAAAATGAGTCGGTAAAGTTGCAGAATCTTCGATAGAATTGGCGCAAAAAACCGATAGAATTATTCAATAAAATTTTAACAAAACTCCGACCGAAATTCAATAGAATTTCTAAAAAAACGCTAGGTTTTTCTATTAAATTTTATCACACGTGCCCTTCTCCTTTTTTTATTGTTAATTCCAGATGCGAGCATTGACCAATTTTGAGATATTACGAGACATGAGTCATAAAGGCGGGAAGAGCAGAACCAGCTGACACTCGAGTGGTGAGCGCTCAATATTCCCAGTTCTTTCAAATATCCTCTCTAATATGAATAAACCATTTAATGTTCACCTCTACGTCCGAACAAATTTTATAGAAAAACCTAGAGAATTCGCGAGGAAATTCCATTGGGTTTTTATTGACAAATTCCACAGCATATTTACGCGTTTTTTTTCCAATGGAAATGTTCAATGGAAAATATTCTAGAGAAAATCATTGATAGAATTGAATCCAACTTATTCTATTGTGATATTTTTTATAGAAATTTCTAGGCTGGGATTTTTCTAGTTTTTTGTTTGATGTTTTTAATGAGAGGAGAAGAAAAATGAGTGGTAAAAAATTAGAAAATTTATGTCAAGGCATTCCTATAGGAAATGTCTCAGTAGAAAAAATTGTATAGAATGCATAGAATTGTATAGAATTGTATAAAAATTAAATTCTACTGATTTTTTAAGTTAAATTCATTTTCTATCCAAAAAATTGACGATAAAGTTGCAGAATCTTTCCGTAGAATAGACGAAAGACTAATAAAGAAATAGAATTTCCAATGGAAGTTCAATAGAAACCCAACTAATTCTATTGAGGAAATTTCTATAGAAATTCCTCAAATTTTTCAAGTTTTGTTTGATTTCTCAATTGCATATAGAAAAGAAATGAGTGGAAAAACATATAAAATTCATGTCAAGGAATTCCTATAGAAAATGTCTCAATAGAAAAAATAGTATAGAAAAATGAAATTCTACTGATTTTTTTAATGAAATTCCGTTGGACATTTTCTATAAAAAACTCGCAATGAAGTTGCGGAATTTTTCTATAAAATCGACAAGAAACTAATAGAATTTTCAATAGAACTCCTGTAGAAACCCAACGTGTTGAATCGCGATATTTCCTATAGAAATTCCTAGGCTTAGATTTTCCCAGTCTTTGTTTCGATGTTTTTAACGCGAAGGGAAGAAAAATGAGAGATAAATAATTAGAAAATTCATGCCGAGGAATTCCTATAGAAAATATCTCAATAGAAAAAGTTATATAAAAAGATGGGAATCTGTAGATTTTTTAAATTAAATCCTTTTGGACATTTTCTATCCAAAAAATTGACGATGAAATTGCAGATTTTTTCCGTAGAATAGACGAAAGACTGATAGAATTTCCAATGGAAGTTCAATAGAAACCCAACTAATTCTATCGAGGAATATTCTATAGAAATTCCTCGACTCAAATTTTCCAAGTTTTGTTTGATTCTTCAATTGCATATAGAAGAGTAGAAAAAATACATAAAATTCGTGTCAAGGAATTCCTATGGAAAATGTCTCAATAGAAAAATTATATAGAAAAAATAACTTCTATTGAATTTTCCGATGTAATAATTTCTATTGGTTATTTTCTATTGAAAAAAATGTACAGTAAAGCTGCGAAATTCCTCAATAGAATCGGCGAAAAGCTAATAGACTTTTCAATCGAATTCTATAGAAAATTCCACAGCTGATTTGCGCCCTTTTCTAAATTTAGGGCTCCAATGGAAAATATTCTATAGAAAAAAAATCAATAGAATTAGATTTTTCTACACAATTTATTCTACTGACATATTTCCTATAGAAAGTCCTAGGTTCAAATTTTCAAAGTTTCTTTGCTTCATTTTTCCAACGAAAAGAGGAAAAATCCAGTGGAAAAACCTTTGAAAATTCATGTCGAGGAATTTCTATAGAAAATGTCTCAATATAAAGATTATATAAAAAGATCAAATTCTATTGAATGTTCCAATAAAATAGTTGCTATCGGATATTTTTTATAAAACGCGCGCATTAAACCTGCGGAATTCTTCAATAGAAAAGTTCAATAGAAGTCCAAATGAATTCCCTATCGAATTCCCGAGGTTCTTCTATGAAATTTTATCGTGCGTGATAATTCTCCAAAATGTTTATCCTCTCAAACTTGTTCTGCCTGTTCTATCATCTGAAATTCCCATTTGTAAATAATCCAGCCATAATGACGTCGGAGCCACTGTCGGATGGTGGCAGTCCGGCGTTGCTTCATCGTCCTCTACTCACCCCGCATTTCGTCCTACGCTCAGCCACCCTTGAGCGCGACTCTGAGACTCACAACACCGGGAAACCCGCTACTGGTGTTACATCGTACTACGCGACTACCTCCGTGCGTTTTCAAACATTCGACATGGTGGATCAAAAGTCACTCAGGTATTACTCAAACAAGGAAGAAGGAAAGAACCATCCACGTGTGAAAAAATTTGATGGAGAGATCTAGCGAATTCGGTGGACAATTCTATTGGATTTCTATTGGATTTTCTACTAGTTTTTGGCCGATTCTATTGAAATTTTTAGTAGGAAAAATCAATAGAATTCGATTTTTCTACACAACTTATGCTATTGAGATATTTTCTATAGAATTTCCTCGGCTCAAGTTTTCTAATTTTTTTGTTTGATTTTCTTGCTGGAACGGAAAAGGAAAATCGGATTTTAAAAACTCGAGTCAAGGAATCGAATAAATTGTATAGAAAAATGGAATTCTACTCAATTTTTCTACACTAAGAGAAAAAATTAGCTCTGTCGAAAAATTATATGTTCCACGTGAGAATATTTGATGAAGTGAAACAGATTTACCTGAGGGAAATTAACCAACTCGACAGAAGATAATTTAATATCTTTCAAAAAAATTAAATTTTCGTCGTGGTCATCAGAAATATCCCTAGAAGAACTCCAACTGTTGGCAGAAAAAAATATAATCTATTGTACGACAATCATTTGATCTGAGAGAACTCCGTAGATTTATACCACAGAAAGAATACATTGACGAGGAAAGAATATTGTTTTCCCAAAAAAAAATGTCCCCTCGAAATTATTTAGTTTTGCCAATAACACAGTTGTCGGAAAGAAAATTGTAGTTTCCTCTTGAAATTATCATTTGTTCCATGGGAATTATAAGTGTTTATTGGACAAAGATATACACTACTCAATAACATTGACTTGATAAAACCGGAGCCTCATATAATTCTCTGTAGAACGAATGTATTACATATAAATGTCTCACGAGAACAATTACTGCAACGAAAATTATCATGCTTTGGTGGAAACTTTCTTTTTTGTCAAACAACACGACAAAAAATCTCTTCAGGAGAACATATCATTTTTGGGCAGACCTAATTTTTTCTCTCGGCGCGTTGAATATTTTCTATTGAATATTTCGATAGAACTGGCCAAAAACTGATAGAAAGTTCAATAGAAATCCGATGGAATTGTCTACCGCATTCGCTAGGGTTTTCTATTAGATTTTTTCGTGCGTCTCAAAAATGATGAATACTTAGCGGAGTGGATCTGGCGATTTTTCTTTGAGAAAAAATATGTATACATGTCATAATTTTGTCTCGCGCATGAATAAATTTAATTGAAAAACCTATCGCTGTCTATAAGCAATTCTATAGAATTTCTATTGTAACTCTATAAGAATTCTCTTGAAGTTTATCAGAATTCTATTAAAAAATTCTATTTGTTTTTTTGCGGCATTTCTATAGGAGATTATGCAGTTTTATCGCATCATTTTTTTTTTTAATATTTGATAGAAAAAGAATCAATAGATCTCGATTTTTCTATGGAAATTTTTGTGCGCAAATTTTCCAAGTTTTTCCGCTGTATTTTCATTTGTTTCTTATAATAAAACCCATTTTATAAAATAGAAAAATCATGCCCGAGAATTGTATAGAAAAAATCCCAACAGAATAAGTTCATTCTTCAGTTTCCATTTTTATAGCCAACAATCAACATCTATAGCCATTCTTCTATGATCAAATATTCCACTGTAAAAACGCGGGGAGACGTTACATAATTCTCAACATAATTGACTCACAAATCAAACAGAATATTTCAATAGAATTTCTACAGCGTCCCACTATAAATTCACTAGAATTTCTATTAAATTTTTTCGCGCGTGATTCCCCAGAGAAAAGAAGATATTTGCCTATCGGTCAGTTTTCGACGAATACCTCGGAATCTAAGGCACATATCAAAATTCTTCTCATAACCTTTTTTGTAGCCCTGGGTTCGCCCTACAAAAAAGCTGATTACAATAATTTCGCTATCTCTCTTAGATTCGGAGATATCCATAAAAAACGTGCTACATCTCCTGAATCCCTTTTATCACTTCGCTACTGAATTGATAACAAGTTTCGTTAAATTCATGAAAATCTATTTCGACTGGAATTATTTAATTAAATGGACCAGTGTGGCGGCCCGCGGAAGGGGCAGGGGGCGGGGGGTAGACAGGAAATTGAGGAATCGATAGTGGTTTGGCTCGTTCGCAAAATCGAGGTCTCACCACTGGACAACGAGAAGAGTTTAATCCCCTTTTTTTAAATATTTGGCACAGAAACTATGAAAAATATGGTTGCAAGTAGAGGCACTAAATGTTTCGTCCACTCATTTATACTTCTCTCACATTTCCACTGAACATTATTTTTAAAACGCTTCGGGGCACGGAATAGGTACATCGGTGACAGCGTTGACGACGCTGCCGCCGGCGGCTGTGTCCAAGGAGGTGGTGGTGCACGCCTGACAGCCCCGAGAATGTCATTATTGGGCCGGCCGATTAACTACAGGGCGACACGCAGGGACGCCCGATACCGGAGGCTACAAACAAACTTCTATAATTTTCTTGAACGGCCCAGGGGCATCTACGCCATCACCTACCACATGATCGTGTAAGTTATCCTGGCTATTTCATTGGGTTGACCTTAGACTCAACAATTACGGAGGTATTTTGCAATGAAAATTTTTTAGATCACGTATTGGTTTTCGCTGGAGGGCTTCCGAGCGAAATACCTTGTCGTAATTGTTAATTGTTGGAATATTTCAATAATGAGTAATTCCGAGGGGAAATAGGATATCTTCTTGGACCGTTATTTTTATTTTGAAGACACTATTTATTTGTCATCATACTGTGCGTAAATGGTATATTTCGATGCGAGAATATTTCAGTAATGAATTTCAATAAAGAGTAATTCCGAGGGGAAATAGTTAGATCGTCTTGGTCCGTTAAAACGGACCGTTATTTTTATTTTAAAGACACTTTATTTATTTTTCATCACACTGTGCGTAAATAGTATATTTCGAATTGTTGTTTCAAATTATTTGAATTAAGGCACATTTTATCCTATTCCATGGAGAAAAATCATTTTCTTTAATATATAATTCAGAATTTTTTAAGCTTTTAAATAAGAATCTCGACGTTTTAGAATAAAATTCTCCACTTAGTTCATGGTATTGGCTATATTTACAGATTCTGTATGGTCTTCATGTGTCTGGTGTTATCGGTCTTTAGTACAATAGACGAGTACGAAAAGGAGGCTGGTATGTGGCTCTATTACATGGAGCTAGTCGTGGTAATTTGGTTCGGGATGGAATTCTGTCTCAGGTAAAAAAAAAAGATCATAAAAAATTACGGATATGAGCAGATCCACACCAAATAATCAGGCGAAAAAAGTCGATACTGGGGATTTTCGTCTCAATTTTTTTCTGAAAAGGCGACAATTAGATGAAAATTTTGAAATTTTCATTTTTTCAGTGAAACAAGTATTGAAAATGACCGAAAATGACTATTATTCATGCAATTACCCCTCAAATGAGTGAATATTCAGTTAAATATTAACAAATGGAAGTTACACTCCTTAAATTTTCTATTATTCATCGATTTCGATGGTAGAATTAGCGAAATACTCATTTTTCACTCAAAAAATACTACTGAAGATAAATAATGGAAAATGTAATGAGTCTAAACTCTTCAATTTGCTAATATTCAATTGAGTATTCAATTATTTGGGGGATAATTGCATGAATTCAGTTGCGAAGCGGTAAAACGATTCAAGTCGACTTGGCTCTATATGAATTTTCGAGGAATATCTCCGAATCTAAGGGAGATAACCGAATTTTTATAATGACCTTTTTTGTAGAGCGAATTAGGGGGTACAAAAAAGGTCCTGATAAAAATTTTGCTATCTGCCTTAGATCCCGAGATATTTATTGAAAACTGACCAACAGTCAAAATCGACTTGAACGGTTTTACCGCTTTGCCACTGAATTGCAACTGGATCTGCTCATATTCCAATTTCATTCGACGTTAAAATTTACTTTCCGTCATTTTATACTAGATTGTGGTCATCTGGATGTCGCTCTCGCTACCAGACGGCCATCGGCCGCCTGAAATTCCTCCGTAGGCCGTTTTGTATCATAGGTAATGCCCCTAAATCCCACTGAAGACTCAACAAATCCTCACATAATTATTATTTCAGACATGATAACTATTCTGGCTAGTGTAGTCGTCCTTGCAATGCGAAGTAGTGGCCAAGTATTTGCGGCTAGTGCCCTTCGGGGCCTCAGGTTCTTCCAGATACTGCGGATGGTCCGTATGGATCGTCGTGGAGGCACCTGGAAACTGCTGGGAAGTGTCGTGTATGCTCACCGTCAAGTAAGAAATGATTAAATGAATTAACTAAATTTTACTCCATATAATTTCAGGAGCGAAGTGGTAAAACGGTTCAAGCCGATTTTGATTATTGGTTAGTTTTTGATGAATATCTCGGAATCTAAAGGAGATAACGAAATTTTCATAATGACCTTTTTTGCAGCCCTCAATTCGCTCTACAAAAAAGGTTTTGACAAAAATTTCGATATCTCTCTTAGATTCAGAGATATTGTAAAAAAATTGTCCCAACGTTGGTAGCCAACATTGGCCTGACGTTGGTAGCCAACACTGGGCCGGTGTTGGTAGCCAACATTGGCCCGATGTTGGCAGCCAGTATTGGCCCGACGTCGGCAACCAACATTGGTCCACCGTCGACAGCCGACATTGCCCCGACGTTGACATTTTTTAACCTTTTCCTGAATATTGGGTTCAAAATAAAAATTTTCAACGATGATGGAATCAATCTCAGTGGGAAGAATATTTAAAGTCACAATTGGATTCATTTAAACGATTATTCTGTCAGTTATCGAATATTCGAACTCCTGAGGTCAAAATTAGTTATTCTGACCAGAAAAATTGGAAATTTCGAATTTGATGAGCCCCTTACTTCAGGAAGTTTAAAATAAAAAATTGATCCCTTCACGGGCCAAATACTTATCAATTTCAACACTCAATGAATCCATCACGAAACCCTCACAATCCACCATATTTTATTCATAAACTGAAAGAAGGCACATAAATAATCCTCTCGAGTATTCATTGAGGAGGTAATTAACTTGGAAAATTCCATTTTCTTCACTAACACGGAAGAAAGATAATTTTAATAATTCACCCTTTCCCCTTCTGTAGCCATGATGAAACTTTGAAAAATCATTGCATCATGAAATAATTTCAATGTTCTCTCAGGAACTCATTACGACCCTCTACATCGGCTTCCTTGGTCTAATATTCGCAAGCTTCTTGGTGTATCTCGCCGAGAGGGACGACGAGCACTTCAACAACTACGCGAAGGCTCTTTGGTGGGGAGTGGTAAGCTCAAGTTATAGATTTGACATGCGAGTTTCCCACATTGTCCACGGGCCTCTCGGCCACAACAATAAGAATAAGCAAATGCAGAAAGTTACATTAATTAATATTAATTTATAACATTTTTACTGAATTTAAATAATAAGGGCGACAAAATTTCATAGGAAAATCTAGCGAATGCGGTAGAAATTTTTTTTTTAACGGAAAATATTTAATAGGCAATATTCTATAGAAAATATCCGTAGAATTTCATTTTTCTATAAAAACTTTTTACTGAAAGGTTTTCTATAGAACTTTCTCACCATGAAATTTATAAATTTTTCCCCTCAATTTTTCTTTTCTTTTCATTAAAAATATCAAACGAAAAAACTTGGAAAATTTACACCCCAGAATTTCTATAGAAAAATAAAAATCTATAGACCTTTTCTATAAAATATCTCTTACCAAAATAACACGGTAAACTTGCATAATGTTCTATAGAAATGGCGGAAAGAACAATGATAATTTTTTAATAGAATTCTCATAAAACTTCAAGAAAATCTTATAGAATTCCAATAGACATGCAATAGAATTTCTTATAGAAACCAAAATTTTTCTACAAAACTTTTCATTTTTTCAATCCTCGCCTAAAATCTCGCCCAATCCAGAATCAACAGTTTGAACGAATAAATAACCCCTCGTATGAGAGTGCCTTTGGCAAATATCCAGTCTCAACTGATTCCAAAATGCAACAAATATGCCTGTCCTCGATTATTAGTCTCCTCATGTTTATCCACACGTCAAATTTTCCCAGATTACCCTGTGCACCGTTGGCTACGGCGATGCTGTACCAAAAACTTGGCAAGGAAAAATTATTGCCTCCTTCTGCGCACTCCTGGGAATATCCTTCTTCGCATTGCCCGCGGTACGCCATTCACAATTGTCCAGATAAATCATACTTTAATTCACGCTTCTGGTAATCTTGATTAATCGCTCGTCTCGGGGGGCCGGGGGGGGTTTATTCGTTGATTTCAGGGGATTCTGGGCTCGGGATTTGCGTTGAAAGTTCAGCAGCAGCAGAGACAGAAACACATGATTAGGAGGCGACAGCCTGCTGCTACATTGATTCAGGCACTGTGGAGATGTTATGCCGCTGATGAACACAGTATGAGCATTGCCACATGGAAAATTCATCAAGTTCCGCTTTCCAGTCCACCTAGGTATTTATTCAACTCCAATGAATATTTTTCTTATTAACTAATATCGAGAATCATTCTGGTTCCCCTGTTATGAGCTCCATAATCCTATTGACAATATCTTGCGACGTCACAAGACGTGAAATGCTGTGTAAACACGTGGGAAATTGCTTTCGTCAAAACATAGTTGATACATCTTTGCTAATAAACTAGCAATTTGCGTCGTAATGGAATTTCTATGACGATGTATTTTAAACTGAATTCGATGATTCATTGAATTCTCATTTAGTTCATCACGTGAACAATTCACGGCGAATAGAATTTTCTTCGGTTAGTTTCGACTGAACGTTACAACGAGTATCAGATGTTCTCCTTTCTTCTAATCTTCTTGAATTATCCTAAACTTTTTTGATTGATTTAATGTTGGCCCAACGTTGGCAGCCAACATCACCCCAACAGTTGCAGCTAATATTGCTTTAATGCTGACAGTTAACATTGCCCCAACGTTGGCGGACAACATCGGCCCAACGTTGGCAGCCAGCATTCCCCCGACATTGCCCCAACGTTGGCAATACGACCCTAACTTCGACAGCCAACATTATCCTTCCTTTGGCAGGCAACGTCGGCCTAGCGTTGGCAGCCGACATTCCCCCAACGTTGGCAACACTATCTTAACATCGGCATCCAACATTATCTTAGCGTTGACGGTCAACGTCGCCCCAACGTTGACAACCAGCATTGCCCCAAGGTTGGCAGCCAATATTGTCCCAACGTTGGCGGCCAATATTGTCCCAACGTTGGCGGCCAACATTGGCCCAACGTTGGCGGCCAAAATGGGCCCAACATTGTCCCAACGCTGGCGGCCAACATTGATCCGACGTTGGCGACCAACATTGTCCCGACGTTGGCGGCCAACATTGTCCCAACGTTGGCTGCCAACATTGCCCCAACGTTGGCGGCCAACATTGCCCCGACGTTGGCGGCCAACATTGTCCCAACGTTAAAATTGTTGGCTTCTTCAAAAAGAGTCTAAAAAATTGTCTCAAAATAGCACATTGGAACTCTCCTGAGGCCAAAATTAGCTATTCTAATCTGACGAATACAATGTTTCCATGTCCTCGAGCCCTAATTCAATTGCTGAACACGAAAATTTTCTATTTTCAAGTAACTCTTACACCGCGCATTTACATATTTCTTGAATATCATTATTATTACTGTTATTATTTTGGTGAGATTGATTGATTTTTTTCCCATCACTTTCGAATGTCAAATTCTTTTTATTGAATATTTTTTTTGTTCCTCTAATTATGGTTGAAATTTATCCAACTCAAGTTGCAATATGGAATCATTAATGCAATACGCAATCATAGTTGTGGTGGAGCGTTCAAATTTGCTGACAAATGTAGCATTTGTGTGGGCCACTTGGACTGCCCCGCTCCCTCCACAGACGGGATCACATCGGCGCCGTGATTACGAATTTAATGAACGTGCTTATGGCCGTGATCACGATGATAATGAAATTATATAATTTCGATAATTAAATTGCCAATGGTTGCTAGAGTGTCCTCAGGATTATTCAGCCAATGAGAGAGACAGATCATCAATGGCTTTCGTAATTTTGAATAATACATTTTGAATTGCGTCCAGTACCGCAACTGTCCCGGTTTCTGTAACACTCAGCAATCTGTTAATGGCTAGAATTTTTAAATTATCGAGGAAGAGCTAACATATCATTTTACAATTGTTGTAAAAAAAATTTCCAGTTTTCCATTTTTTTAATTCAGAAAAAAAATTATTGTAATCGCACAATTGCAAACTTTTGATATTAATTAACAAAGGGTCTGCGATCGGTTGAAATTTGGCGCTTACTGGGACAAACGAACAAAAATTTACAATTCCCATTAATTTTTTAATGAAAATTCTAATAAAATTCTCTAATAAAAATTTTCAATAACGAAATTCATCGAAATTTCAGTGGCACTGAAATACGATCAGAGATCGGCAAAAATTCCTAATAAAATACTTCTAAAAGAAGTTTACCGTAAATTAATAAAAGTTCACTCCTTTTTTATTTCAATTTGAAGATAATTTTTAATTCTCAATAGTAATTAAACAAATAATTCTAAATATCTGCGATTGACTTTTCAACTAAGACGAATTAAAAAGACAATAATCATTATTCTTGCGAAATTGATTACTAATTTATAAAATATTTGCAAAATTGAAAATATTGATTAATAATTAATTCAATAAAAATTGAACAATTGTACAATACAGTGACCTGATTTCATATGTTGTAGTAAAATAATTTTACTTCTGCATTACGATTTTGCCTATCCCTGAAGGCGATAAAAAATTTCAAAATGTCAGTCAAAAATGTTGAAAAGTGCACAAAAATTTTCTAACGGCATTAACTGGAACTCGCGCTCATAGTCGTGCTAACTGATTCAATTAGCTGACATGATGCTCCCACTAATGACAGCTCTATCATACTCATTCGCAACAGGATAATCTTGACATTCTCCCATTGTTCGAGGGGAGGTTTATCCGAGGAAATTGAAGAGGGGAAAAAAAAAGCTTTGTCAGGTGGTGCAATAATTACCGCAGTGACTTGTAATCGATTCAACAATGACATCAAGCTTTTTTCAGGGCATTTCGGCTCCCTCGCCCTCTAAGATAAGACCGTGACAATCGTGTGACTCCCCCTTGACATACGACCCCACCATGTCCGTCCCCTCTCGCCTAATTCAGGTGAACGATAAAATAATGGAAAGGAAATTCCATCGATGATTGCCTTCGTAGAATGCGAGTTGAGACGTACCTTATAGATCTCATAACATTCGCGCTACAACCAGAAGAGTTGTTTATTTTAATTCAATGACTAGATTCATTTCAATAGTTCGTGACTGAGGAAAAAGTCTATCAATGTAGCATAAAAGTTTGAGTGGATTCAGAGAGGTTCGTTTGACATAATTCACAGATAGAATCGCGGTTAGTGATAAAATGTATGATTGGGTCAACCGACAGTAGTGGCTACACGGGTGCTGTGCGCCTTCTGCCGTCGTCCAAGCAAAGCAATGTTCAGTCTTATTAAAGCTGCACTCAGAGACATATCGACATAATATCACAAAACTAATTTCTCGCGCCAAATATCGCATTTTTCAAGCGTTTGTTTGGTATTGTATTATTTTAGATTCCGATATACGAAGCACCTGTAGCCGAGTGCTTGAGCACTCGACACGTTGTGCAATTGCTCTCCCCCCACATGGTCGTTTGGGTGCTTCGTCTCACCGCTCCCTTCGCTCGCTCTCCCCCCACACGGTTATTTGGGTGCAATCAATTGTTTGATAATTCGTTCGAGCCTTATCAATTTTTGATGATGGTCTCTATGAATTATATGAGTTTGTCATGAGTGGCCCTACATATGGACATCACCACCTCCCCCTTTCCCACATGTGCGAACCACTTCTCTCGCTGCCCCGACCTTGAGCCAACCTTAAGCCAGCATTCAGCCAACTTTGAGCCAACTTCGAGCCAACATTCAGCCAACCTTGAACCGACCGTGTGCCAACCTTCAGCCAATCTTAAGCCGACATTCAGCCAGCCCTGAGCCAGTATTCATTCAATCTTGAGCCGGCCCTGAGCCAACCTTCAGCCAATCCTTGGTCAGTATTCAGCCAACCTTGCGCCAACATTCAGCCAACCTTGAGCCGACCTCAGCTAAGACAAAATCTAACCTGACCGTCCGATTTTTTTGTATAAAAAAATACTGAAGGAAGTCGGACCATTTGTTTGGTCAGTCCATCTATTGGTCTCCTCACCCTAAACAGAATTGCGAAAATCCTCTTTATGATGCGAAGTAGAAACCAGGAAAATTCCTCTTATTCGAGCATGACCGAAAAATTAGCAGAATGTTCAAAAGTTTAACTTGTATTCCGAATGTTCAGCGCTTGTTACGAGGTTTTAGTAGTATTCTCCACCCGGCGAATACCAACGCAATTATGAGAAAATTCCATTTCAAAATGCAAACCCATGTCGAGTCAATCTCCCACATGCGCGGAAATTGAATTTCGGAAAAGTGGTTCCATTTATCCACGGAGTTCCTGGAAATTGTATTTGGAATATGTAACGTACGGACTCAATTAATATCGTTAAAATTGTTTTGTCACTATATTTGTAAAAACCATCGCAAATTGAATATTTGGAAAACAATTTGCCTGGATTATTTCTCCATTGAGGGATGAATTTTAACTCTCGCGTTAATGGGTTAGTATTTACTAGAGTGAGTGTGTGCTGTTGATTTTTTAATTGCAGGAAAATCTCATTAACACGACGTCAACGTAAAAACGATGAAGAGGAATAAGTGATTTATTACAGAGGGACAAGTGTCTAGTTTAATTAATAATTTGTGAATTTCAGTGCAATTACAACGTGCAATTACAACAATTATTTCGGGAAAATTTTTCGTAAAAATTAGAGAAAATCTTCGGATTGTCAGAAATTCGTACTAAAATTTAGAATAATTGGACTCAAATTACAAATATTCTCATATTCTCTCTAATTTTAAGAAAGCTTTAGTTTCGGAATTTGAAACTTTTGAGTTCTAAAAATAAAAACTATTAATTAATCTAAATTGAGGTATTATTCTAGAGAAATTTCCATTGAAAATTCTAATTCTCAATAATTTCTACTTCAATCTTGTTTTTTTTCAACTTAAATTGGAACATATTTTCTTATTTCGAGGAAATTTAATTTCAGAATGAAATTTTTGGTCTCTTAAAATAAGAACCTTGAGATTTTTGAATCAAAAACATTCACATTCTCAAATTAAGAATATTTTCGTTCCTGAATTACTGATTTTCCTTGTTCTAGGATTAATCTACATTGAGGTATTATTCTAGAGAAATTTCCATTGAAAATTCTAATTCTAATTCTAATTAAATTAGAACATATTTTCTTATTTCGAGGAAATTTAATTTCAGAATGAAATTTTTGGTCTATTCAAATAAGAACTTTGAGATTTTTGAATCAAAAATATTCACATTCTCAAATTAAGAATATTTTCATTCTTGGATTGATGATTTTTCCTGGTCTGAAATTAATCTACTCATCTTAAAAATCCCGTTATCTACAGTATATAATTCACCGAACACACTTAATTCTTAATTATAAAGTTAATTCTTCAATTCAATTCAATTCTTCAATTTAATTCTTTAATTCGTGATTTTTACAGTTCTCGGATTAATCTACTCATCTTTATAAATCCCCGGTTATCTACAATATATCACCCAATACCTGAACACACTTAATTATTAATTAATGATAGATTATCCCAGAATTTTCTCTCCTACAAATCTCTTCGGTATAAAAACCCAAAAGGTTTTTTCTCCTGAAATTCGCGAGTTTTTCTCTCTTGAAAAAAGTAAATTTTTTCCAAACACCAGAGACTCTTCTTCTGAAATTACACGGAGAGAAATCTTGAGTAAAAATTACGGAACTCACAATTCACTCACCGATTACGGAATCGGCTCAGAAAATTTAAGTGACGGTATCGTAATTTTTCACAAGAGATTCAGATAAAAATAACGGAACGCTCCGTAAAAATTCCGTGACACACTGAGAGAAAAATTTACTTCTCCCAAGAAAAACAGAGAAAATTTTCTTGACACAAGTAATCAAATGGAGGTTTTGTATGGGACACTTGAATATTTATTTGTGCTAATAAAATTTATTTTTCACAAATAAATTTTTTTCTCAGTGCAGTTCCGTAAAATTTCCTACAACATTTCGCTCCGGAATTACGAAAAAGATACGTAAATTTTATTGAATATTTCTCTCCGTGTAATTGACCATTTTTTATTCTCCCCGAAACCCTCCTGAGCCCATGACTTTCCTAAAATCAGTAACTTCTTTCGGAAGACTGGGAGCCCCTTTTTCTTTCCGACGATAACTCGAGATTTATTTATTCCACCCCAGCGGCTCCTCAAAGTGACGATAAAATGAAGATAATACCGCAGCAAAATACTTAGCATGAAAACCTCATAATTCAGGGAATAATGGAGCCACAGGGTTCAAGCATTTGTGTTTATTTGCTAACCGAAGTCTTAAAATCCTTGACCGGGGGGTGAAACGAGTTTAGTAGAACTCATTGCCCGCTATACCCGTGAAAAACAACTAAACCCATTAATTATTCAGTAGTTCGCATTGTTAACCATCTATTTACCTCAAACTTTCGCAGTTGTTATCGACCATTGTTTACTTTTTCCCTGTCCTCTTTCAGTAGTCGTCTGTCTTCCAGTTTTAAGCACAATGCCTCATTCGTCAGTCGTTTACCGACAATTCGTCGCCACAAGAGCACATCCCTTCACAGTCCAGGTGGACACAAGCTGTCACATAATTACCAGCGCCCGCCGCCCCGTGTTTTTACTGATCTCATATCATCAGCTGAGAATCTAGGTCAGTTGTTTGGTGGATAATTATCAGGCCAACTTTTTCAATTTGTCAAACAAATTTAACGACGCAAGTTCGGATTTCAGTGCTGACATGTCAACGTCAACGAAATGCAGGTGAAACAAGTGGGAAATTGCTTTTGTATTGCATATAGTACAGTTATTTTTGCTAGTAAATTAGAAATATGCTTCCGAGTGGTTATTTTAGAAAATTAAATAGAAAAATAGTATTTAAAATTTTTATTTAGAAAAATATATCCTCGAGATTTTTTCGGAGGGAAAACGTTGACATGTCAGCAAAAAATTTTTCACAAGGAATTAAAAATTTTGTCGGTGAAATAGGTCTGTTAATGTCGACAGGAGTCGGGAATCATCACCACGGAATCTGCAATGATCCGAATGAATCGCAGTTAACCACAAAAAATCTCAACGCGAGTTACTCCGAGGACTCGGTGACCGAGACAGCATTCTCGAAGAAAAATTCAGACGGTACGTAGATAATGAAAGCTAAGATAGACGATATCATAATGCAGAATGAAAATTATTTCATTAAATATAAAATTAGTTGACTCAATTACAATTTTTTGATTTACAAAATTTAATTTTCAATTCAATGTTTTTAATGAACAAATTTTCAATTTTTTATTATATTAATCAATCAAATTTTTCAAATTTTCAAATACTTTATAAATCATTAATCGACTTCGCAATAATGACGATTATTTAATTAATCGAAAAATCAAATTCAGAAATTTTGAATAGATTATTTAATCATAATTAGGAATTTAAAAATTATTTTCAAATTTTTATAAAAATTTGCGAACTTCAATTAATTTGAGGTAAACTTCTTTTAAGGATATCCAAGTGTATTTTACAGTTTGGTACAGACCACACGATAGATTCAACCATTTTCAATCATTATAATTACATTTTGCACAGAATTATTATTTTTTTAAACATTCCCTGTTTATAAATGAATAATTGAAATTAATTGAACTTTCGAAAGCGTTATTTTTGCCTCCGAATGGAAGCATTGTTCGTGCAATTTTAACATTCTCTAATTTTGATTAGAAATTATGTAGAACGGTCTGAAACGTAAAAGAGTTCGGAGTTTCCCGGTGTTCAATTTTTAGAAAATTGAGTAATAAAGTGACTAAAGTAATTCCAAAAAATCTGAAATTTTGTCAGATTACAGGTCTCAATGAGGACTAACTCTCTGCAAAATTTCAGCCCGATCGATCAAATAGTTTTTGAGAAAAAGCCATTCGTTTTTAAATCGTTTTCCGCAAATATCTTCAAAACTAGTGAACCGATTTCGATTTTTTTGTTTTCGAAATATTCGTTTCGATGCCTTCTATCTAAATCAATCAAAACAGATCCACCCGTTCATACAAAGTTTTCGAGATATTCCCGTTTTTCTGTTTTTTCATAAAAAAAAACTTTGTAATCACTCTAGCTTGTGCAAAAATCGAGATATCAATTTGAAATTTGGACAGACTCTTCTTCTCACGACAACAACAGTTCGCAAAATTTAAATAATAAAGTCATTATAAAGTGATTCGAAAATTCAGGGGCAAATAAAAGCTCCGATGTTCGACAAAAAAGTAGAAAAGCCATTCCAACATTTAAATTATTATTATTTGTTTTGTATTATTTGATTTCACTGCAGAAAAAATAGCCAGAGTCCTTGGATATCCTTAATATTACTAAAATAGTAATAGATAATTGCCGACGCCCGATTAAAGTAGCTCTACCTCAACGGTAAATTCAAAGATTATTGAAAACTGCAAAAAAATTGCAGAAAACTCGATTAGATTCGGAATTCCAATTTTTTTCTCAATTTAATTATCGTATTGGTTTTTCAAAGAAGAAATGTTTGAAAATCAGGATTTAACCCAGTGTCTTACGTGAAAATCAACATTTCCATTGTAATCAAAGATTAAAATCTGAATTTTTTTTCATTAGATGTGAAAAAATCAAGAATTTTTTGACACCTCATAAAAAATAATCCACCGTTTTGCAAACAAGCTTAATTATTTATTTATAAGAGGGAAACGTTCGAAAAAATATCAGTATTTTGCGAAATTTAATTTAGATAATACTGACTGGGCATGAATTTTTTCAAATTTTTTCCATGCAATTTAGTTGAAAAATTTAACCCTAGTTTGGTCACCATAGGAGGGAAACGCCGCAGAATGTCGATTTTTTTTCTTACCATTGGCTGAGCGGAAAAATCCTCAAAAATTGGAATGCGTCAATTCAAGTGTCTAGAAAATTATAATATTTTTAAAAATTATTTATATCCACAATTCCTGAAGAAAAAAAAAATTTTCTAACAGNTTTTTTTTCTTACCATTGACTGGCTGAGCGGAAAAATCCTAAAAAATTGGAATGCGTCAATTCAAGTGTCTAGAAAATTATAATATTTTTAAAAATTATTTATATCCACAATTCCTGAAGAAAAAAAAAATTTTCTAACAGACGGGCAATTTCTTCCCATGTTAAGGGTGCCAAGTGAATTTGAAAAAAGATTCAAGAAAAATTTTTTCTTTCTCTCCATCATTGGAGAAATATGTATTCATCCATCCGACGAAATTTCAAACCCGCAACTGGAACTAGACATCGAGAAAATAAATGCGGAAAATCCTCTATTTCGCGTGACGAACCTCGAGAAAGCATGGGATCAAATGGGTACGGCGGGTTGAAATATCTCTCTTATTCACCCCGGTACCCCATTGTTTTTTGTCGCCATCACATTGAACACATCATTCCCCATATCTTCAAATTTTTTCAAATTTTTCTTGAGTTCCTAGGGGGTTGAAACGTTCAATTTAATCAAAACTCCATAAGAGGCCGTGTATAAGACTGATTTTGTTTATTTAATTTCTCGATATCCATAAGTTCTAAAATTTTAAAATTGTCACCGATGTTCACCATCTGTCTAATACTATTAATTTAAAAAATTATAACTTTGTTGGTGAATGTCAATTTTCAAGGTCATCGCCAAATTCACTTGGCACCCTCAAGTGAAATTGCCCGTTGTGCGACGTTGCCGAAGTCTCGCTAAACGCGCCCGGGCAGTATAGAGTAGATTCGGCAACGCTCGGGCCTAAATAACACGGCGGCGATTCCCTGCGGAGGTGACCAAAGTCGCAAGTTCTCATATGGTGACCAAACTAGGGTTAAAAACTGAAAATATCCAAAAGTACAGCGTAGCCCGGCCTAAGGCTAGAGCTACTTTAAATCCCCACCGAATTTATGTATTCCACTTTATCTCACTAATTCAATGGGATAAAAACTATTTCCTGGACACGATCAGACGAGGAGGAGGAGCCATCGCGTTGCATTCACCTCACCAAGAAGCACAAGACAGCTATTCGTGCGATAAGAAAGGTGAGGGCTGTAGAATATCCGTCACAATGCTCGCCTCTGGTTTCTATATCTACTACCGAAATTCACTCCAACAATCACGACAAATGCGCGATAGACTAATGCCAAATGTCAATCTGAAAAATCAGTCGTGAGGGAAAAAATGAGACAAATATTTTTGTAATTTCGGCTGCTCAGCACTGGAAATTTCTAATAATGACGCAGGTATTTGCAGGATTTAAAGAAAAATGGCATGGAGCCAGAGCAAATGAGAGGTAGAACTCAGCACGAATGAGCGGGGCTTTACTTTTGATTTAGACATTTCGCTGGGAAAAAGGGAGTTAAAAAATTTAACCATGAATTATGGTAGAGAAATATCGAGTGGATAAGGTGAAAAATTTTGAGGATGCTGAGAGCGAACGAATGGCCTTTCTTTTTCCTCCCTTTTCATCTCAACTTTTTTTTTTCCTCTCTCTCTCTCAAACAAACTGCAAAGTATTGGAGATTCACGTGAAGTACTCACACTAGTTTGTACTTGTGCCCGGTATCAGATGAAGTACTTCGTGGCGCGACGCAAGTTCAAAGAGGCTCTGAAGCCATATGACGTTAAAGATGTGATTGAGCAGTACAGCGCAGGCCACGTCGATCTCATCAGTCGCGTGAAGAGTATTCAAAATAGGTACCAGACATGGTGATGGTGTTCTATTCGTTCGCTGTTGGTAGTAGTTTGTAGTGAGAAGAGAAATGAAATATTTTTATTCTCATGACTCTACTTTTTTCAAGTCGTTCTTTCAACTTTGTATTTTTCAAGGACAATCTCATTCACTATTCTTTATTTACACCTGGGGGCTGTTCGAGTATTATGTGAGGATGTCTTAGGGAATTTAACAAATTCATTATCCAAATTTCATTTTTTTTTCTCTAGACTGAGATCTGAAAAAAATGTGCAAAAATTCTCAATGACGCAGCACACTCAGACACTTCTCCCCTGAATTTTCCAATTTTTTGTCATTATTTTGACTTTTACACGAAACGCCTTAATACCAAATTTTTATGCATTCGAAATTTATTCATTTTTTTTTATTGATGATTTTGAAATCCGTATGGGGTAATCCGAATATTTCATATTTTAATCTTTAAAAATTGAGTTGTGTTCACATCTTGAGGGGAGACGATTATGAGTTTTAAAAATCGCGGACTATTGGAATGAAATTTTTCATACATTGAAGATCGATTAGGCATGCCTAAAAAGGAATAATTAGTGCAAAAAACTAATTGTTTATTGTTCGTTTACCCCGCAAACGCTTAAAATGTCAAAAATAGTCCAGGGCCTCCAATTTTTGAGCTACAGAGGTTTTTTCTTTTTCAAAATTGTTGGAAAAATATATGCAATAACAATTATTAATCAAGTTTTTTTAAATTCAGATCCTACACAGCTAATTTCGTTTTTATTTTCATTTAAATCATTTTTTTTCAATACTTGCGATTTTGGATAAACATCTTTAAAAATCAGGATTTAACCCAGAGTCTTATGTGAAAATCAACATTTCCATTGTAATCAAAGATTAAAATCTGAATTTTTTTTCATTAGATGTGAAAAAATCAAGAATTGTTTTGTCTCATAAAAAATAATCCCCCGTTTTGCAATCAAGTTTTATTTTTTATTTATAAGAAGGAAGTGAATTATAGAATCAAACCTATAGAAATCGTATAGAAATAATTTGTGTAAAAAATATCCCCTATAGAAATATCCGAATGTCATATACGAAAATCCTACAGAAATTCTATACGTAATCCATATAGAAAATTTCTATACAATTTTTCCATACGCGTCGAGCTACTTTAAGCATAGAATTCAGTAGGGAAGTGGTAAAGCGGTTTAAGTCGATTTTGAGAATTGGCCAGTTTTTAGTGAATATCTCGGAATCTAAGGGAGATAGCTAAATTTTTATTTAGACCTTTCTTGTAGCACTTAATTTGCTCTAGAAAAAAGGTTATTACGAAAATTTCCTCATCTCCTTTAGATTCGGAGATATTCTTCAAAAACTCAACTAAGAGATGAGTCGACTTGAACCGTTTTACCACTTCGCTACTGAATTTCATTTTTAGAGGAAATAAAATAGCCGATATTAATGCGGACAGCTTTACGTTCGCCCTCCCCTCCCCCAACTCACTCATGTACAACTCGAATGGCCTCATTCTCTATTTGTCTTATGATTGGTGATTTTTATCTGTTTCGTTTACTACCTCATCTTCCTGAGAAGTCTTTAGAGCCCGCGTAAACGAGTCTAGATGAACTTAAAGACTTTAGGGTAGTTGTTAATCCCCCGAGTTCAACGGCACAATCCCCTGATTATTTTACTCTCTGAACTACAATAATTTTTGTGTTTCAACTTCTTGCACCTCTACTGTGACAAAAATTCTAGAAACTCGAACTCATAACTCTCCTCGATCAACTTCATTCTCTGTTCTTCAATGAAATTGGCATGTTGGCTCGTGTTAATGTCGTGCAAAAAAATCTATTAGATTAATTTTATGGTTTTCGTCTGAATGAAATTAAACGAGACTGGTTGCGGTCCCGTCCGATGAAGCACATCGTCAATTCATTTTTATATGAAGCTGTGGAGAATGAGATAAACGACCCAGACTTGTTCCGTTGATCAGTGAGATTATAATGAAATAATGAAGATACTTCTGTCTGTATTGGGAAAATGTGTCGTTGTGCGGATGTAAAGTTTTTGAGTAACTTTGAAATGGCTTGCCCGCTTCGGGAATGACAGGAGAACCTACAAAACACTCGTACGCGGAGGGAAAAGTTGGATAAAAATGATCCAGAAAATAGGAGCTAATTTATCATTTTAACTGTACGAAAGGCAATCGTGGAGCGAAGTGGTTCAACGAAAAATAAATTGCGGAGAATATTTTACGATTCGTTCGCAAAAAAAACAAGTGGATAATTGCATTTTTTAAAAATGAGTATAGCTATCGTTGCTAATTAATTAGCAGCTAGCGAACGAGATTAATTTATAGTGCTATTTTGTTTTATTTTCTTTCCATTTCCGTCTTCACAATTAGATTAATTTAATTTTATTCATTCTTGTTGTTATTATATACGTTTTTGTTCCTTAATTCACAAGTTACAATGTGGAATGAAGAGGAATTCCTCATAAATCACGTGAGAATACAGATCGACAAACAATTTTCGATAATTATAACGAAATTTTTTATTTCTTGCTTTTTCTTTAAATTAATTAGTACCAGTGATCTGAGAATGTGAACGAATGTGAACATTTTACATCCCTTCGATCTCATTTCAATGGAACCGAAGAAGGAAATTGCAATGAGAGATCGATCATCATTAACCAGTATCAATAAAATGAAAAAATCTATTTTTCTGTCTTTTCGAAATTTTTCAAATTGTTTTTTTCTTCTTAAAAAATGAAGGGAGATCAACATTTTTAATTCCTGTGACCGTATTCCGTTCACAGAAACAGGAAATACGGAAAATGTAGGGAAAGAAAATCAGAAATAAATTTTAAAAAATCGATTTTTCAATCTTGAAAATTGCAAAACGTTTTTTTAAATAATGAAGAAAAACCAATTTATTTTCTTTCTATTATCTAATTCTTCTGGAAGAAAGTGGGAAGAGGAAGAGAAACGAGATCAACGCGAAAACAGAATTTTTAATTTTTCAATGTTTAGGGAAAATTTTAAAATTGATATATTTTTTCGAATAATGAACCAATACCCATAAATTCAATTCCTATCCTCACATTTTCACAGAACACACGAAAAATAGCAAAGAATTCAAATCGACGATGAAAAATTTTATCGGATTATTATTACGTAATTATTTTAGTAGCGAAGTGGTTAAACGGTTCAAGTCAATTGAGATCCTCCTGTGTTAAAAGTGGTAAAGCTGCATTTAAATACAGATAAAAAAAATACAGTAGAGACTTCGTATAAGATACCTTAGGGACAGTAGGAGATGCGAATTCCGAGAGCCCCTTAACCCCCACTACGCGCGCCCATAGGGAGGAGAAAAATAGGGATCAGCGGGTTTCAAATAAGATACCTCCCTCGTGGCGCCCGAATTCAATGAAATTTTCATTTTTACTGAATGAATATCGATAACTAATAAATTTATATGTTTTTAATGTTTTGAATTTGTATCGCCCGCGTTCCCTTTTCTCTCTAAACATAACCCCGCGTGACAGAATGGCAGCTGATGTTGGGGGATTGTTGGTGGACTCGAGAATAATTACAGACGAAAAATTACGATTTTTCGATGGGAAAAGTGAATAAAAAATCGATGGATATTTCCATCACTTGAAAAAAATGGTGTGACCCCCCTTAAGGTCATTAGACCCTCATGATCACTTCGTTCGTCCCTCCCGTTTGACCCTTAACACCGTTTGACCCTTATAAATACTCTCTTCCTGTTGAAAAATGACCGGGGCCATAGGTATCTTATAAGAAGCCCACGGAGCATAAACATTCGGGAGACGATAAAAGAGCCGAGAGTGGGGGTAGGCCTCCAGCGCTCGGAGCGCGAGGTATCTTATAGAGAGGTATCTTACACGAAGCCTCTACTGTAATAATAATAATAAGAAAGAATGAAGAAGAAAAGAAAATCGATGCGACACAGAATATAACGAATAACAGAAATCAGTAGCGAAGTGGTCAAACGGTTTAAGTCGATTTTGGCTACAGGCCAGTTTTCAGTGCATATCTCGAAATCAAAGGGAGATAGCAAAATTTTGCTCATGACCTTTTTAGTAGCACTCAAATCGCTCTACAAAAAAGGTTATCATGAAAATTTCGCTATCTCCCTCAAATTCGTAAGTATTTCTGGAAAACTCAACTGAAGACTAAATTGACTTAAACCCTTCACCACTTCACTGCTGAAATGTAATATTGAGGGCCATCGCTGCTGAATATCGAGTTGGCTCCCCGATTACTCGACTCGTTCGGTAATTTTTCTCCAACTTTTTTCTCCATGCAGACATGGACCATTAAATCCATGCCTGCTAGTCCTGAAAAACCACTCGTGTAAAAAAAAATTTTAAAAAGTCTGAAACTGAAATTTCTAAAAATCCAACACGGCAATGTGTGCTGTTACTCGCAGCTCAAGTACTTCGTGGCCCGCAAGAAGTTCAGAGAAGCTCTGAAACCTTACGACGTCAAGGACGTGATCGAACAGTACAGCTCTGGGCACGCTGATCTACTGAATCGCGTGCGAAATCTCCAATTCAGGTACCTTCAATACGAAAGTACCATTTATGTTACATGAATATTTATCACACATGAGAGACTATCAATGGATTAAATCCAATGAGTTGAAGATACTAGTGAGAGATAGCTTGAGCACATGATAAAGTGAATAAGTCAAGTGAAGATGAATAGACCAGTGATTTAGTGATTTTTTTGTGGCAAATCTACTCGGTATTATAGACGTTTATGATGAAAAAGCTTGGGCGCAGCTACACTCCACACGGCAGCAGCATCCGTCTGTTATGTGTAACCCCTCCTCCATCCTCAATATTTTTTATGCGTTCTATATTGGTTCGCTCGCGTTCAGCGAGTCTCATCTCAGCCTCTCTCCACCCCACCCCTCATCCTTTGAGCTTTTGAGATCCCCTTTCGTTTTATATTATCCGGTTACTGGCTCCTATTGTCTTTCCCTTCGTTATTATTATTATTCGGGGGTTTGAAGTGCTTACTCGATCGTGTGGAAGTCGTCGTTTGAACAATTTTGCCTGGAATTTCTGGTAATTGTTGGAAATTTTTAACGCGTTGTGGTTCCACTGAAATTTCAAGGAATTTTCTAGCGTGAATTTTTTTGAAAAACCTAGCGAATTCGGTAGAAAATTATTTTCAATTGCTATTGTTATAATTATTAAAAGATTATAGACTTTTCAAGATATTGTTAGAAAAACCTTCAAATCTAGAAAATCTCAAAAATCGTGAAAATCAGAAAATAATTATCGAAAATTATAATAATAGAATAATAATAATCATTATAATCTATTATAATAATTGATTTTGTATTATCTGGTTACTAGCTCCCATTGTCTTTCCCTTCGTTATTATTATTATTATTCAGGGGTTTGAAGTGCTTATTCGATCGTGTGGAAGTCGTCGTTTGAACAATTTTGCCTGAAATTTCTGGTCATTGTTGGAAATTCTTATCGTTATAATTTTTTTATTATTCAATCGAGTGGAAATAATCGTTTGAATAATTTGGTCTGCATTTTCTGGTAATTTTTGAAAAATTTTATTGCGCTGTAGTTTCACTGAAATTTTAAGGAATTTTCACCCGTGAAATTTTATTAAAAAATGAAGCAAATAATTTTAAAAACGTAGAAATCATTCAGTAGCAAAGGATTGTAAATTTCTATTGAATATGTTATTAGTTTTTGTGAGATTCTATTGAAAAAATCCGCAGCTTTTTGCGTGTTTTGTCTTCAATAGAAATGTTCAATAGAAGATATTTTACAGACAGAATGAAGGGAACTGGATTTTTCTGTATAACTTATTCTATTGAGATATTTTCTACAGAAATTTCTCGATTCAAATTTTCCAAATGTTTTTGTTCAATTTTTTTTAATGAGAAGATAAAATTTAAGTTGAAAAAACTTGGGAAATTCATGTCAAGGAATTCGTTTGGAATATATTTCAATAGAAGAAGTTGTATGATAAGTAGAAACTTGACTGGTTTTTTCTCTAAAATGAATTCGATCGAAAACTTTTATTAAAAAAACGCAAAAAAAAATTAAAAAAGGTTAACGAAAAACTGAAAAATTAAAGAAGAGCTGTAGAATTTTCTAATAAAATCGGTAAAAACAAATTGAATTTCCAATGAAAAGTCAATAAAAAAAATAATAGAATAATAGAATTTTCGGGGGAGTAGCTAGGTTTTTACGTAAAATTTCCTACTATGTCGTTATATGAAAATTCCCAATTTTATGGAAAAATCAATAAAAACTTTAAATTTCAGTTGAATTATTCCATGAAAATTGATAGAAACCCGGAAAATCCAGGCCAACGTATTCTTGAATTTCTAATTAATTAAAAATTCTGCGTAATTTGGTGCTAAATATTCATGTTTTGATTGAAAATTCAAGCAAATTGGGGAATCCCCGTCTTCCATCTGCTAAAAGTTGAGGAATTTCATTGAATTTTCAGTGAAATCCAAAATGTCATGATCCCCCTCCCCCCCCGATCAAATTAATGTGAGTTAAGAACTTTTCGTCAACTGTGAATTGAATTAATTTTTTTTTCTACAGTGGAACATAAATTTTGTAAATACATAATGTCAAACTCAATTTAATCTATATCTGCATGTGTTATTTTCCAGTATTATTTACCCTCCACATGCTTGTGTGCTTTGCAAATCGCGAAATTAGTGTTCACTCTGGCTTGCAGAACTGAAATTTCTCATTGTATGCTAATTAAACCATCAAAAAATTGTGAAATTAGATATTTTCATTTTTTTTGCATAGATTAGATCAAATACTCGGGAGGCAGGGCTCAAAAGCACGGGACGTTTACGTGTCAAAGATCAGTCTGGCTTCCAGAGTAGTTAAAGTAGAGCGACAGGTACAGTATATCCTTCATTGATCACGCCCCAACAAATTTCACAGAAAAACGTAGCGAATTCGATAGAAAATTCTATCGAACTTCTATTGAAAATTTTATTAGTATCTGTTGAAGAATTCCGCAGCCTGAGCATTTTTTGAAAATCACTGAAATTTCATCTTTCTATAGAAAGTTTTCTATAGAATATTTTCCATTGAACAGGTCTATTCAAGGAAGCGCGCTAATAAGTTGCGGAATTCTTCAATAGAATCAGCCAAAACTAATAGCAAGTTCAATAGAAACCTAGTGGAATGTTCTATTGAATTCGGTAGAACATTCTATTGGATTTCTATTGAAAATTCCATTAATTTTTGGCCGTTTCTGTTGAAGAATTCCGCAGCTTCACTTAGCGTTTTTCAAAGAAATTGTCCAATGGAAACTATTTTATAGAAAAAATTGTACAATTTCATCTTTCTATAGAAATTTCTATAGAATATTTTTTATGGAACATTTCTATTGAAAGAAACACGCAGATAAGTAGTGGAATTCTTAAATAGAATTGGCCAAAAACTAATAGAAAGTTCGATAGAAATCTAGTGAAATCTTCTATTGAATTCGGTAGAAAATTCTATTCGATTTCTATTGAACTTCTATTGAAAATTCTATTAGTTTTTGGTCAATTCTATTGAAGAATTCCGCAGCTTCCTTACGCATTTTTTTAATAGAAAATGCTCAGTAGAAACTATTTCATCGAAAAAACAGTAGAATTTAATTTTTGTATAGAACTTTTTCTATTGAGACATTTTCTATAGGATTTCTTCGAAGTTAATTTTCTCGGTTTTTCTACTAATTTTTTTCTTCTTCTTTCATTTGACGAATCAAGCAAAAAAACTTGGAGAATTTGAGTCGAGGACTTTCTATAGAAAATACCTCAATAGAATAAGTTGTATTGCAAAATCAAATGCTATTGATTTTTTCTATAGAATATTCTCCATTGAGCATTTATATTGAAAAAAAAGCGCAGATAAATGATGGAATTTTTTAAATACAATAAAACGTTCGCAAAACAAAACTTGACGGAAAGTTCAACAGAAATCCAATAGAATTAGTTGGCGAATTCTCTATGATTTTCTATGAAATTTTTGCCAGCGATGGATTAAAAGGGAAAAAAAGAACGAAATAACGAATCTTTCAGGTCGACGATATTGAGACTAAATTGGACCAACTAATTGAATTATATATGGAGGATCGAAAGCGACTTTTGTCGCTACCAATGGCTGAATCCTACAAGGTGCCTCACCCACCCATCACTTGTCCGGAAGAAACTACCACAATTACAACTGTATTGAAGCCAATACTGGTGGACAAGCAGTTGTCCGAGCCAAGTTCACCAACGTCGAAGACCCAGCGTGAAATGAAACCCCAGAAACCACGGCAGATTCATCGGGGATACTCGGATTTAGGGAGCAGAGTCAAAAAACGTGTCACTCTAAGGTTTGATATATTGACAGATACAATTTACGTATTTTTATTTTTATATGAAAAACCCATTGTTGAAATTTCTATTAAATTATTCCATTCATGAATGTATTCTTTCGTTTCATCGTTCGAAAATTTCATAATTTCAATTTTATTCCTTTTTTCAATCAATTGTTTATAATTATTCTCACTGCACAAAACAATACGACCGATGAGAATCATATGTCCCAATTCATCAGCTCTTAAATTTTCATATTACAATAAATGATTTGCTCATGTTCTAATTCCTACGCTCACTGAATAGGATTTTAATCATAATTACGATTCAATTTCTTTTAGAACACACTTTAGACTGTGAATTTCTGGAATTCAATGTTTGTTGATACTCTGGTAAAATTGCGCGCCCACACTGTTATCAATTTTCAGATAGTTCACACGGTAATTCAATTAATCTGTTGTTCATCTCATCAATATAATTCCGTGCTTAGAATATTGTCATCTCGTGTTATCAGCACCAAATTAAAAATTAAAACTTCATTTGGAATATTGAGTCACAGCTTCTTTTTATTCATATCAGAAATTTTGTATTTGGATTCTATTTCCCTCCGACCTAAATGATTTGGACAGTTATGACTCGTTTATTCATGTTTCATAGAATGGTATTCAATAACCGCCTCATAAATGCATTATAAAAATGAATGACACATAGACAAAAAACTCGATCAATGATAAACCTGAGAACCACGAAAATTGTCTTTGTCCCTCAATTTTTTTACAAACGACGTAATGAAACCTACTATTTCACATTGAGTATTCACTCCACCCGAGCCAGAGATATCTCTCATAATCTCATTCAGCTCCATCATTCATCTTTACGGCGTACATCGATCACATCGGTCTTTCGTATTGAAGCTTTTCTGCCCTTCAGCTCAATAGCCCCACCACACCTGTTTCATCTGGATGAATCCTCAGCGATGAGACCGGCGACCGCATATTCGGCTGGCTCACCATCGCCCAGGGACGATGGGGTCGTTATCATTGTGCCTACTCTATCCGAAACAAGAAAAGAGGCAATTTCAACGTTACGACCCTCCACCGTCAACGGACGATACGATAAATCCACGGGTTAGTTAACCATTTTTTAAATACTGTCATTAATCTGCGGAGTAACTTCTCATGAATGTTAAGTTCAATGAAGAGGCAATCATCTGATAGCATTCAAATTCGTGTATCCGGTGTGATTGGAAAGATAGATATTTTAGTAATGGGGAAAAATTTAAATTTTTCATTCCCTAATAGGGAACTTGCATGTGTTTTTTCTTCATTTTCCAAAGTCAAGTGTAGGGCTTCATTAATTAATCATCATAGAATGGCTGGGCGATACTCTTTCGGAATTTCTGTTCTAATAATTATTACAATACTAGAGGGCCACGCCCCCTGCTGGCTCCCCTCGCCAATCGCCTAATGACCCCCATCGCCCTTACTCTGACTCGTGAGTCGTGACTCTTCATTTCTGACCCTTAATTTTGGGGTTTTAATTTCGAATACCAAATTTGCCGTGAACCTTATTTGGACCCTTAATCTGAATTTCGATCCTTAATGTGACCTTTTTGACGCTTAATCAGACCCTCGTGACCCCCATTCTGACCCTTGCGGCCCTTATTTTGGCCCTCGAGACGCTTACTCTGATCCTCATAAGCCTTATTTTGACCCTCGTCACCCTTATTTTAACCTTCATGACCCTTATTTTGACCCTCATGATCCTGATTTTGACCCTGGTATCCTTTAGTGTCTGACCCTTGGTTTTTAACCTTCACGAGTCTTATTTGACCCTTACTCTGACCCTTGTGACCCTTAATCTGATCCTCGTTACCCTTTGTTTGCTAAAGGAAAGACTACTCTCCATCGTTTCAAAGCGAACATTTTTCGGAAGCAGTTTTTAATGAATATCTCGGAATCTAAGGGAGATATTAAAATTTTTGTCAAGATCTTTTTCATAGGCCTCAATTCGCTCTACAAAAAAGCTTATTATGTAAATTTCGCTATCTCCCGTAGATTTGGAGATATTCCTCAAAAACTCAGCTGAGACCTAAATCTACTAGAATCGTTTTACCGCTTCACGAAAGCTCTGTAATCGTTGTCATTAAAGTTTGGGATTTTCGGTCTTGCGAAAGCGAATGTCACACTTTACCTCCCTTACTTCAATTAATCATCCAACTGTTCATATTGTTCATTAAAAAAAAACTCCTTCCAGTCGGTCATCCACAAACGAAATAAAAGAATTTAACAAACGAAAAATGTAATAATTTGCCTGCGTTTCGACTGGTATATGCATTCTTCCTCGGGCAGTTTATTCAATCTGTATAACAAAAAAAATAAATAAATAAAAATAAAAAAAATACAAAACATAAAAGAAAAAAATATAGATAAATATGTCATTATGGAAATGATAATATGTTATTATGGAAATTAATCCGAGGATTAAATCAGCGTCAACTCAAACGAGGCTACAGGATGGATTTCCATTTCTCTCACTCCAAGTAAAAACGAACGTATAAATTCAAGAATTAATGTTTGAAAACGAAAATTTCGCGTCTGATAAGCCTCAATTTGAATAACAAATTTCTATCGATCAACTGGACGGAACATTTCAGTAACCGTGGAGTGTGATCCAGGGCGTTCAACGGGCGATGACTACAATACCGAGAACGAGGGCGAGGACACGTCATGCGAAAGGGCAGCCCTGCTTGGCGCCTCCGAATCTACGCTACCAATATCACCAAGCTCCATTGATCCTGGGGGTAGCATAGATCAGCCATGAACGAAAACAAGATGGAAATTGCTTTCGTCGCGATATAGTCAATATATTTTTGCTAATAAATTAGCAATTTGCTTCCGAATGGAATTTCTATGACGATGTATTTAAAATCGAATTCAATAATTCATTGAATTCAATATTGCCTCAATGTTGGCAGGCAACATTACCCCAACATTGAAGTTTCTGACCTTTCCCTGAATATTGGAAATTGTTTTCGTCACAATGTAGTCCATATATTTTTGGTAATAAATTAGCAATTTGCTTCCGAATGGAACTTCGATGATGATGTATTTTAAATTGAATTCAATGATTCATTGAGTTCAACATTGTCCCAACATTGCATTAAGCTGACACCCAACATTACACCAACATTGGCAGCCAGCATTGGTCGCCAACATTGTCCCAACATTGACAGCCGACATTTTTCCACCGTTGGCCGCTAACATTATACCAACATTGCGTTAAGCTGAGACCCAACATTACCCGATCGTTGGTAGCCAACGTTATCCCAATATTGGCAGCCAACATTGCATCACGTTGACACCCAACATTACCCCAACATTGTCCGAATGTTGGTAGACAATATTATCCGAATGCTGGTAAACAACATCGGCCGAGTGTTGGTAGCCAATATTGTCCGAATGTTGGCAGCCGACATTGCGTTAAGCTGACACCCAACATTACCCCAACATTGTCCGAATGTTGGTAGCCAACATTGTCCTAATGTTGGTAGCCAACATTGTCCCAACGTTGGCAGCCAACATTGTTTCAACGTTGGCAGCCAATATTGTCCGAATGTTGGCAGCCGACATTGCGTTAAGCTGACACCCAACATTACCCCAACATTGTCCGAATGTTGGTAGCCAACATTGTCCTAATGTTGGTAGCCAACATTGTCCCAACGTTGGCAGCCAACATTGCCCCAACATTAATATTTTTTACCTTTCCCTAGTTTCAAAATATTTTTTTTCAACAATAACGAATGTCAATCTCGTGATCGAACTCGGTCAAAATGGCATTGGAAAAAAATCCTTTAATCACTATTGGATTCATTTAAACAATTATTTTTCAGTTATTATCGAATAACGGTCTATCACACACTAAAAACATCACATTCGAACTCCTGATACCAAAACTAGCTGTCCTGACCCAAAAAATTTGAAATCCCTGATTTGACGAGTGCAATGCTTCCATTCGGAAGCAAAAAAAATCCCAAGATTGACGATAAATCATAATTGTACGCGTTTATAGTTTATCCCTCCTCGTTTTTTAATTCATCCATTCGTCTAGAAGGAAAAAGACTACAACGCTCTCCAGAGTATAGGCTCATGAGGGGGTGAATTTCTACCCTCAGTCGGAGTTTCCCTCGGGGCACAATGTATCCAGCTCGTATATAGAGTAACCAAAAAGATGAAGAGAAGAGAAAAACCACATAGAAACATCCGTGACTCACGGAGACAATATTTGCCATCGTAAGTTCGTATTTTAAGAGAGAAATATTATCAACGGCCTCTCATAACTCAACTTTTTGCACGTATTACTATTTTATGAAATTATTAAGTTCATTCATGCTCTCTATTTTACTGTGAAAATGAAAAAAAATGTATATTGTAAGCTTTTGCGAATCAAACGCCAATTCTTCGTATGATCAAATCCATTTCAGGGGCTCTCTTTTGAGATCACGCGATAATATTTATTTTTCCCGTCTATCGCATTTATAGAGAAACGCAGTGCGATGGAATGACATTTATTCACGAGAAAATACGGTTAAAATCGAAGGAGAAAGTAGAAATAGGTAAGAAAAAACCGACCATTTAATGAAGAGAGAATTTTAAATAACTTTTTATAGGATTATTAATATACATATTATAATTATACAAACTTTAAATTGCATTTTGACAAGAGCAATCTGCACAGTGATGCAAATTTAGGAGGACGTATTGCATTGATACAAGAGAGCAATTTGAGTAAACAAATTATCGTACAAGCTTCGATAGACCAAACAAAGTATATATAATTATTGTAAGTAGTTTAAGGCTTGAGAGATGATTTTTTTTTTCTCTACTGAAAGTGTCTTCGCTGTCACTTACGATGAAAAATAAAATGCTAATTATTTTTTAAAAATAGTGAAATTATTTTTCACCTTCGTGGCTTTGTAGATATCATTTGTGGATGGTGGCATTCATCGATTTGTTGGCGGAAAGAAGGTCAGTGATTCTTTTCATTCTTTTTCATTGTCTGTTCTTATCGTCGAGCCATTGATTCATCTGAGTTAATGAACTGGTCTATTTGAGATTACAACATTTCACGTTGGAGAAATTCAGGAAAATGGGGAAACTGTTGTAATTTGATTGTCTTTCAGAGGGAGTCTCATGAGAAAAGCATTCGGTAGAAATTTCTATCGGACGTCTGCTGAAAATAATATCTTTTCCGAATTCTGCTGAAATATTTCGCAGCTTTTTGAATATGAAACTGTACGTGCATTTGGATATTAATGAGTGAGTAAATTGTGAGAAAATATAACGTCGAAGTCAAGAGAGGAATGACGCGAGAAAAACCCAGATTATGAAAAAAAAAAAAAAAAAAGTTGGGACTGTTGAGCCTGAGTGTGCAATAAAACTGTAGACGGTGGAGTTGAGGAAAGTAATAAATAAGAAGCAGTGTTTGGATTTGAGTGGCGTTGGTCCCCTTGCTTCTTTAAAATTCGAAATTCTTTTAGATTTTCGAGAAAACTTGACATTTCATTATTATCCCATCAACTTTGATTTTTTTCTTAGCAGCTTTGTGCTCGTCTTTCTTATTTTTCTCGATATTTACGCGACTTTTTCCACGAAATGGTAACATTCTTGAGTTAAGTACAACTCGTAAAATTCTTGCAGACCCTTGTTTAGTTCTTACGTCCACATTAAAACGAAAATCTACAGAATCGTAAAATAAAAGAATCCCCATTGAGATATATCTCCCTCAAATTAATTTTTTACCTCAAGACCTAAGCACCGTTTTTCACTGAGTTATCGCTCTCACAGACAGTGAAAAAGTTCTGCTGCATATAAAAACTGCGATAACTATAACGGTCCAGAGGTTTCCTTTTTTCGGTAGAACAAAAACCCGAATGCTCTCAGCATTGCGCTCTTCCTCGGATATAATAACCCCGCAAGGTCGTGGAGTGAAATAATAGATGAATTCAACAGAAGTAAGTACTGGGTATCCGAAGAAAAGTCCCATGATTCCTGACTATGACCTTCCTCTTGTACCCAACCAGTGGCCAATGCTTCACGGAGAATGACGTTCTGCCTTCACTTGACGAATGTATTTTATCGATATTGTACCAGGTAGTGTTGCAGAGCAGGGGACAGTCGTCATAACATTTATCGAATCTGGTTCTACTTCTCATAATTTTATTGTACTTGCTCAGACGACAAGTGGGTGTGCTGTCTCCTTTGATCCACCAGGGAACACAGCTCAATACCTCCCTGAAGACCGCCTTCTGACAATCGATTTGACAAATCTCCCGCAAATGAATTTTTCACCCGAATTCCTAAGTCACCGAGTTATCGCTCTCACAATCGGCGAAAAAGTTCTATTCCACATGAAAACTGCGATGACTGTAACTGTCCAGAGGTTTCCTTTTCCTCGGTAAAATAAAAACTCGAATACTCTCGACATTACGTTCTTCCTCGGATATAATAGCCCCGCAATAAGGTCGCAGCGTAAAATAATAGATGAATTCAACGGTGGTAAGGACTGAGTATCCGAGGAAAAGTCCCATGATTCCACCGAAAGATACGAGAAGTTCCAGCAACCCGAATATGACTTTCCTCTTGTACCCCACCAGTGGCCAATGCTTCACGGAGATTGACGTCACGTTTTCACTTGACAAATGTATTTTATCGATATTGTACCAGGTAGTGTTGCAGAGCAGAGGACAGTCGTCATAACATTTATCGAATCTGGTTCTACTTCTGATAATTTTATTGTACTCGCTCAGACGACAAGTGGGTGTGCTGTCTCCTTTGATCCACCAGGGAACACAGCTCAATTCCTCCTTCAACACCGCCTTCTGACAATCGATTTGACACTCTGAAGGGGATGTACCTTCGTCGGGCATTATACAACCACGAGTGCTCGCATCAAACAGCCTAGCTCCTTCCTGAGTTATTGTTACTTGCATGGATATAGAGAATGAGACATTGTGGATTAGTCGGTAACTAATTGGGCCTCCACGGGGCAGAAACCAATGCGGCTGAAAATACAGACTGAAAGGACAATTAAGTTCGGTTATTGGTTCCGGGTCGTTTAATTTTTTTGGTTCCATGACTATTTAACACAAAACAAATTCAATACATGGGCAATTCAACACAGAACAAATTCCTCACAACATGAATTCAACAATGCATTCACTCAATACATAATCAATGAGTTTATTTGGTTCTTCAGACAAAATTCATATGTAGATTAATCACTACAAAATTCGTATAGTAAATAGAAAACTCTTCATTCCGATTCAAACAGGCAAGTAAAAGGCCTCGCTCTTGTTCACAAATTCCCGTAGAATAAAAATATGTGTCGCTGCCCGAAATGTACGTGCTGAATGAAGTTCGTGTTAAATAATTATGTGTTGACAAAATAATGTGTTCAATACACTATATGTTGACTTAACAATATGTTGAATTGATTGGGTGATGAAAAAATTTGTGTTCAATAGGCTATGTGTTGTGTTGAATTTGCATAGTGTTACATTATCCTGCCACCAATTTTTTTTATGTAGATGAAACAATTTTATTCAACAAGCTAATGCATTCGTTAGAAAATTCCATTATTTTTTTCGTACCATTTTCTTTCAGTAAACATGTTCAACCAAAATTATTCTAGAGAAAGAAATCAAGCGAATTTGATCTCATGAGGATATTTTCTAGAAGTTCTTCGACATAAATTTATTACTAAAAAAATTTAACAAAAAAAATTAGGCAGGGAGATTTGAATAGTAAATATCTCCATAGAATCGGTGAAAAACTAATAGAATTGTCAAGTAAATGCGCTAGATTTATCTGTAATTTTTTTTTAAATTTAGTGGAGTGAAAAAATGTAATGAGATCAACGGAATATTTTTGTTAGAAAAATATTCTATTGAAGAAAAATGTTCAGTCGTCTATCGAAAAATGGTATAGGTGTTTCTCCTGCAGTGTTACATCAACAATTTGATAGATAGAAATTTACTTCATCCTTTTGTCGAATATCGGGATAAATTTGATGGTAGGAAGCGCCTTGTAAATGGTCATTTCGAAGGGTCGGGTGGCGCAGCACTTCCCTTGCTGTGTACTGACGGTGACGAACATTGCAGAGCAGTGGAAACGAATATCCCTGCGGATTCAGAAAATTTAGAAGAAATATTGCATGTCAGACTCAGCTAGTCTTCATCTTCAGTTTTTGGTGGAGAAAATATGGCATTTTGACAGCAATTCATTTTTTTAATGGGAAAATTGCTGATTTTTTGGGATTCTCAAACATAGGGGCAAATTGGAAATTTGGGGTCACAAAGGAAGACAGTTTCTAGGTTCCCGTAAAAATCCTGAAGATAAGAAAACTTTTCACTTTTTTTAAAGAAATATTTCCTAAAAATCCTCAAAATTTTTTCCAAATTATCTAGAATTTTTTCACTGTTTTCCTCCTCATTGAAAAAATAAATTTAAAAACTTGGAAAATTTCAGCCAAGGAATTTCTATAGAAAATATTTCAATAGAGTAGGTTTCATTTCATTGATTGTTTCTGTAAAATATTTTCTATTGAAAAATAACTCAGAAAAGCTTCAGGATTATTCAATAGAATCGACGAAAAACTAAGTAAAATTTTCAATAGAACTTCAATAGAAATCCAATTGAATTTTATGGTAAAGTCGCCAAATTCTATTATAGAAATTTCACGTGCGTAAAAATGCGGCATATTCTCTCTCATATTATCTCATTTTTTCAGTCTTCTTTTTTTCCCTCGTATTAACAAAAATTAAATTAAAACATTTGAAACGTTTATTAAAATCTTTATTTAAATTTTAAGTAAGACACCGCACTCAATCAAAAAAAAAAAGGAAAGATTAAGTTATACACCTAATAATAAGACCCGCGGACCTCTCGAAACAAAAGTGAATGAGTATTCCATATCCACTCACTTGAGGCTACAATTTCGAAACATGTCCTTGCAGTCCGGCATAGAATTCTCAAACAAATGTCGCAGGTCAGGCGTGACTTTAAACGACTTCGGGATCTCCAGTTCCCTCCAATTCCAGTCGTACAATTTTATGAGAGTGTTCCTCTCCTCCTGCACATTGCAACATCGCATTACTATTTTTTCTTCTGCGAAGAGATATGAAGAACAAAGTACCTCAGTGTAATTACGCAGATCCAAGTATTCCGAAGATGGACAGGCGATTACAGCCGGAAATAGAATAGGGACGTCGCTTTTTGGCATGTGGACCACTGTCAGCATCGGCGCCGTTGTAAATTTTATGAGGGTAATTGCAATCGAACAGATTGCTGCGCCCAACGAGGCAAGAGTGCATAGGAACCATAGTACTCTTGATAACAAATGGATGGAGACAAAAATCAATGACAAATTGCAAGAATAATCCGTTAAAAAATGAAAATGATTGGAAATTCATCAGTTTTTTTGTATTTTTTCCCAAAAAAATCACATCATTGAAAATTTTACTGTTTGTTGACTCAAAATAATATGATACAGAAAACAATTAAATTAACGCTTAATTAAATTAAAGTAGTAATTAAATTAATTATGATTAATTAAATTAAATAAAACTCGACAACTCATCAATTTAACTCTTTCTAAAGTAAAAATTGAATTACAAATCAGAAAATTACTGCAGAAGAAACTGTGAGATTTAAAATGCTTATCAGTAATTGAAAAAACAAAATTATCCCTCGTCCAACATTTTTTCAGACACAGTCTAGCAATAAAATTTCTCGAGTTACAATCCACAAAATTGAGAGTAATAATTCAGAAATCCACGATGGAAACGCCTTTTCCGCGAATAAAAGCTGAAATACCTTTCCCAAACAGGTCGACTCGGATCAACGAAGTAATTGAATCCATGGAGTGTATTTTCCCGAAGAAATTCTCTGCTGCGCAATCGAAAGCTCCTACATAGCTTAGCAAGGGATGGAAGGTAACGCATGGCTTATCCGAGCAATTTAACGGTTGTCACCAACGATTTACGCTATTCAGTTCCCTCACCAGGTGCATTTACTTCGCGTGACGTCCTGATAACAATTGCACCTCACGCAACACTCGAAGCACCCCTGCGTGTTATGATTTCACGAAATCATGTTCAAGTTTTTTTATTGTGATTTTTATTTATTCATTCAATTGATATCTGCCACACAGAGATAACAGTCTGTGAAAGGGGTTATCGCAAATTTCATCGATAGAAGGGAGAATGCAATTTGTGCAGTAATTTCTAGACGTACCCTAGTGGAAGAACCTAAGGCAAGGGCGTAACATGCCTGATCAGAATTTCGGATCGGACTTGATCAGTTTCTACTTGATACCTGAACAGAATTTCCACTCGGGTAGAATGCTCAAATGCCGATTTGTATAAACTAGTCACTTGAACATAATTGCAAAGGCAAGTCGGAAATTTTCACGTTGCGACAATGTTGGCAGCAAATGGAGGAGGAATGTTGGCTACCAGGGTCAAGCCAATACTGGCTACCAACATTAGAGCAAGGTTGGACACTAATGTCGGGGCAATGTTGGTTACCAACATTAAAACAATGTTGGCTAGGGTGTAGGGGACCCAAATTTGGTTTTAAGGCTCTATCTCTCATAATTTCCGAGATAATCGCGAAAAACGAAATCGCCAAAAAAAATTAATTAAATTCATCTTGTATAGTGTGTAGGAAGTGGAAAAACGCAATTCTGCGCCGTCTATCTGGCTATCGGGAACCCAAATTTCCTCAGGAATCGAATGGAATAGGTTTTAAGGCTCTATCTCTCATAGTTACCGAGATAATCGCGAAAAACGAAATAGCCAAAAAAAATTAATTTAATTCGTCTTGTATAGGGTATAGGAAATCGAAAAACGCAATTCTGCGTCGTCTATCTGCCTATCGGGAACCCAAATTTCCTCAGGAATCGAATGGAATAGGTTTTAAGGCTCTATCTC